GTTTTACTGCTTGGTTTACATACATACATGACTATCTCACGTATCTCTAAATCGCCGTCTAGTCTCGTCTCGTGCTCGTACTTACATACATTGATTCGCTCCATGTTCATGCTTCGTGCTCACGCTTATGCTGTCTGTAGTTACTCGTCTGATACATAGAACTGGCTGTAGTTGTTGCTCGGTACCTCTCTCGAAACACACCTGCACCCTCATCCACGTATGCAATAGATCTATCTAGATTTCATTTGATTCTCTGTAGCTTGTTCTTAGGTCTCAGGTCGTGCACCATGATGCATGAAGTTCGGCGTGCCGCGACGGAGGAAACAAAAAACATTTCGTTGGTTTGCTCTCTTCAGTTCGGGTACGGGGAATCGAACCCCGAGCTGCCGCGTACCATATCCAAGGAGAGGCGATGAGAGGCGGCAATGTTAGCCGTTACACCATACCCGAGTGGTTAATGTTGCCTTATGATGCTCTGTTGATCTTGAGTTTGGCCTTCACCCTTACGCCTTTCTTTCATCACAACCACGATGAACAAACTCGAATCTGCCCAAAGCATTCCGACACCTCGTAGAGGCCCCTAATCGGCCACTCGACACTTACTTACAACCAGCGTGACCCCTTCAAGAACGCGACCCCGTTCATTCCGCGCCTGCCACAGTTGAGCAAAACTTGCTTTGCTACCGCAGGACAGCGGTCGTGGGCGGTTTAAAGCCATTCACGACGCGCCTTTCGCATTGTGGAGAAGAACTGCTTGGAGATCACGAGCAGTAATCGCTTCTAGACTGTCAGTCTTATACAGTTTCTTGTGCAAGGAGTTGAGGTGATCTGCAAGTTTAAATTGTGCGTGCTGTCTCCTCCTCCCTCCACTTACTTGTTTTGAACTATGCAACGCAGCCTACATATTAGCTCACATACGGTGACCCGCGTTCTCACCCGCGCTGGATGATAGAGAATGTCTGGATTTCTTCAGGGTGCGTCTCTCTCCCTTCCACTATGTTGGAGGAGATTCTGGTCAATCCTCGAATGACCGAGAATGCCAACTACCGAGGTCAGCAGACCTCCGATAGGTAGACCTCCGAGAGACAGTATTATTCAACTTACAGTACAGCACCTTCGTGAAACTTCCAGATAGTATTAGCTACATGTATATAAGGCTCTCGAAGATAGCCATAGTTTACAATAATATAATATAGGTTACCCTCTATTTTGCTCATAGGTTATGGGAGAGAGGTCGATAAAATAAGGTCTATTCCATAATCCAACGCCATCCTACCCTCCGCCTCCCCACGACCTCCCCGTGCGTGCTTGAGCATTACAGGGGCATCCACAGCCATACTGAGGGACATTCTGATTCTGAGGGGACACGTGCGCCGTTCCATCCGCGCAAGCGGCACAATTCGTATACATCCCCACCTCGCAGCTACCCGCTGCCCACGGCTCCCCACATAACCAAAAATTGGCGTCCGGGTCCGGATCCGTGTGTTCGCGGGACGGGACCACCCTCGCGGCGCTCTCCATATCTATTGGAGCTACGTATAAGTATGCCCATCGGGAAGCATCCAATACTGGTTGTTCGTCGTGTCCTGCGTGAGGACCGTGGGGTTGGGTTGCTGTGCTTTGTCGAGTAGATCCGCTTGACCTTGTGTTTTCCGATTCCTCGATCAGCTTGGAAGTAAGGCCGGAGTATGTGGTCGGCGGACACGATTGTGTGAACGTGGGGGGAGAGACGGATTGGACCTACGCGTGCTCAGCATCGGGCCTCGCCTGCACGAAGGAGGGCTAAAGCTGCGGGGAGACGCCGAGGATGGGGAGCTGGAGTGTAGTGTAGTGTAGGGCGCGTTGTGGGTTGTGGTCGAAGTGAGAGGCGTGGTTTGATTGCGATGAATATACGTGGATTTGAGCCGGAGTGGGCAAAAGACCTGGACGCGTTTGAGAGGCTTTTAGAAATGGGGTGTCCTGCTTTGAAGGGCTGACAGTGAATTTATCAGGGGGGTCGGTCGGGATTGTGATAGGGCAGTGTGAGGCCTGGAGCGATGCGAATGTCGATGAGGGTCTAGTAAGCCGTGACGGCGACCCCACCACACAGCCCCGGCACGAAGATTCCGAGGAGACATGTTCGCCGTTTCATCCGCGTGAGTTGAATAACCATAACCCTTATCCATACCACACTAGCACTGGCACCCTCCGTCCCTCGCCTCCCACGACTTTGTATTCCACACAACCCCAAAATTTGCATCCGAGTGGGGACGGGCAGACACACCTTCGTCTGGTGGGAGTGTCTTCCTGTGTCGGTTACGTGGTAGTGGATGATACAAATTCAAAGGCGGGTAGGGAACGGATCTTTGCACGATCGAGAGGGAGGTGACGTGCTTTGAAAGCCTGGGTGCATCGGGGCGGGAATTGTCGGAAGAACTACAGTGTCGGTCGGCGTCGCGGTAGGGAAGAGCGGAGATAGGTGGGGGGC